TGTTTCAGTTTTTTCACATTGAAATTCGCCAGATTGGTTACGTTGCCTTTGAGACTGTATGGCAGCCCAGGAATGAGAATTACCCCCATGATGGCATACCATTTGCAAAAGTAGACAACCCAAGGTATTGCAAATGGGGTATGTCCAGTCTTTTTTTAGTAGCCACTTAGTCACAAACACTGGCCAAAATTGGCGTTCAAATTAGTTTTTTTGCTTTTTTTAAAAAAAAATATTAATGCTAACTTTGACCAGTGCTTGTGACTAAGTGGCTATTAAAAAAGACTGGACATACGCCATTTGCAATACCTTGGGTTGTATACTGTTCCAAATGATATGCCATCATGAGGGTAATTCTCATTTCCTGGGCTACCATATGGTCTCAAAGGCAACATAACCAATCTGGCAAATTTCAATGTGAAAAAAACTGAAAAATTTTACATGCTATATTTGACCCTGTAACTTCCCAAAACACCATAAAACCTGTACATAGGGGGTACAGTTTTACACGTGAGACATCGCTGAATACAAATATGTGTATTTTATTGCAGTAAAAGCAAACAGTATTATGACATTCACAGTTAAAATGTCATGCAGAACTAAAAAAAATAACATTTCCTAATTTCTCATTTTTTAAAATATTTTATTCATATTAAATTATGTTTTATGCCTAAATATTTGATGTTAAATAAAAGCTCTGCTTCCCCTGAATAAAATGATATATAATAAGGGTGGGTGCACTTAATATGAAAGAGGTGAATTACGGTTGAACAGACATATAGTCAAATTCCAAGTTTTGCTTACGTTTTATTTTGATCAAACGTGTACAATTGGCTCAGTCCTTAAGGTGTTAACCCTGAAGCCCATCCTTTTACACTGTCAATCAAAAAGAAGGGCAAAAAAGCCAATTAAAGCCATTTCCAATTATGTCTCAAAAGGGGGAAAAAGTTCTTCTCAACTCCATAATGGCAATCATATTTCTCATTGGATCAATAACCTGTATACATACATATCAACTATATCTTTTAATATCCTGTTATGCAAAAAAAGCATCCACGCCTTTTAAAAAAAATTATCCATAGGATCTGATAACAATCTATTTAGGCAGAGAATGCCATATATTTTTAT